TGCTTCGTCTCTTTCCCATATGTATATTCTTTTCATCTCTGTATTTTTATCTGCAGAGGGCAGCCACTACATTAGATGAGAAGATTGAGAAAGTTCGAAAGAAAAGGAAAACAGAGGTGAGAAAGCAAAGCAGTTCCTTCTCTTCGCAGTTAAGCCCACAGCTGTAGCCTCGACACCTCCCCACTGTTTCTCTTCAAGCCTACGTGGAAGTGCGGCTGCTGCAGGCAGGCTTCTCCGTGTGTCTACTGTTAATATTCATTAAAAATCCTCATAGCATAGTGGTGCTCTGCGTAGGTTCTGGACTTCCTGATGTTTGTATTTGCCTGACTTTATTATAATTGTTTTTCCTCCCAGGACAAAGAAGCCAAGTCTGGGAAGACAGAGAAGGAGAAAGAGGCAAAGGAGGGCTCTGAACCGGAGGAGCAGGAAGACCCTGAAGGGCAAGATGAGGAAGGCTCAGCAGATGAAGCATCAGAGACCGACTACTCATCCGCCGATGAGAATATCCTCACCAAAGCAGGTAGGTGATGCCGTGTTGCTACCAGAAACAGGAACAGGACATTGGAAAGTGTCCGCCTTTACTTGTAGGATTTGCTGTGCTCTTTCACACAGTTAAATTTAACATCTCCATGTTGAACTCCTTTCTGTAAGCTTCCCTTTTTTCTTGGGATTTTGTTAGGGTTGTACTCAGTAGGCAGAATTTACTCTTTTCCTCATCTCCAGCCTCACACAGCTGCCAGCACCTCTGTGACTCGAACTTATTGGGGTGCTGGGGCCCTCACATCCCTCATCAGATGGGTCCAACAATGTAATGGCTACTCCATAAATATTTCTTGCAGAAATGAGAGCTAAAGCATCATAGTATAGCATAGAGGTTGAGAACTTGGTCTCTGGAACTTGGTGAGTTTGTTTCCTGTCTACACTGTCTCACAATGACCTCATCTTTGAAATAAGGCTAATGACAGTCGCACCCTGCAGCAAGCTGTCCACAGAAAGCACTTAGGACAGTGTCTAGCACAGTGGCTCTCAGCCTTCTGGCCCTTTAAATACATGTTGTGACCCAACCATAAAATTATTTTCGTTGCTACTTCATAACTGTAATGTTGCTACTGTTATGAATCGTAATGTAAATATCTGATATGCAGGATGGTTTTAGGCGACCCCTGTGAAAGGGTCGTTCAACCACAAAAGGGGTCGCGACCCACAGGTTGAGAACTGCTGGAGCAAGTTGTAAATGCTCAGTAAGGATAAGCCCTGATTATCAGCTATATTTTTCTCCATAGACACACTCAAAGTAAAGGAGCGGAAGAAGAAGAAGAAAGGACAAGTGAGTGTGGGCTTGGAAAACAGTATGCAGCTTGTTTTTGCATCCTAAAAGGATTTTAAGGTCAGTTTGTTTTCTTTGCCTTTTTTTTTTTTTCTGAATTCTCATTCTGTCTTTTGGTTTTCTGGTGTAGGAAGCAGGAGGATTTTTTGAAGATGCATCTCAGTACGATGAAAACCTCTCATTCCAGGACATGAACCTTTCCCGTCCTCTTCTGAAGGTAGTGGCTTCTTTTTACAACTGTGCAGTCATCCTGTGACTGGGCTTCCTAAGCTGGGCTCTTTGCTTTCCTAAACTCTCTTGTCCACATGGCTGCCAGGCAACCCTCTTAAACAGAAAGTTCATCTTGGCCTATAAGGCCCAGCCCCTTCTGGGCCCCTATGATGCTGTCTCTTAGCACTCTTTCTGCTCTGGTCATACTGGCTTCCTCACTAGTCCTCAAACAGGTCATGCATCTTCGTCCTCAGGGCCTTTGCACTTGCTCTTCATCCTCCCAGGAAGATTCTTTCACAAGTCTGTTTTCATTGCTCCTTGCCTCTTTTAGGGTTCCACTCAGTAACCACTGCTCAATGAGACCTTCCCTGAGAAAACTCTATAAATTGCACTCATCCCCTCCCCACTGCCCTCCCCAGCCACCTTTCTCCATAGCATTTATCTCCATATGACATGTGTTTGTTTTGGTCTGTTTTTTCTATCCTATATAATAACGAGCTAATATGCAAATTGTCATCATGCCCTCCTGCCCTTGCGCCGGGGCCAGGGGACCTGAGGCTGCACCCCCAACCCGGTGGGGCTTGATGGGGGACCTGAGGCTGCGCCCCCCGACCCAGCGGGGCTTGACGGGGGTGGGGCCGGCTGGGTCTGGGTCTTGCGAGATTTTGAGCTGCGTGCGGGTGGGCGGGAACTTGACTCTGGGTCCCGTGGCGCGCCCCAGACTCTGACAGGAAGGAGATTTTCATATACATTTTACTAATTTTCTTTCATCTCTGACACTTCTATTATAGAGAAAGGGCAAATAGCAATATTAAAATATTTCCTCTGATTCCCTTTTAATGTGCACGAATTTCATGCACCAGGCCACTAGTCAGATTATAAGATTCCTGAGGTCAAAGTTTTTGTTTCTTTTGTTTACTGCTATATTCTCAAGTGCCTAGAACAGTGCCTCACACACAAGAGGCACAATAAATGCTTGTGGATTGAATGACTGGGGTGGACTAAGATACCACTTGTTTGGAAACATGCCTTATTTGTTTCATGCTGAGACTCTCCCTACCCCTCTGTCTAACTCTCTCTTTTTCCTTCAGGCCATTACAGCCATGAACTTTAAGCAGCCCACCCCGATCCAGAAGGCGTGCATACCTGTGGGACTGTTGGGGAAGGACATCTGTGCCTGTGCAGCCACTGGGACAGGTAAAAAGGATAGGGACTTGGGGAGGGGCTAGGCAGAAGGAGGATGTTCAACCTAGAACAGGCTCTAAGTTGACTGACCAAAAGGCCACTTTGGTAAATACACAAATATAAATTTGATTTCTGTTAACCCTCACCTGAGGATATTTTTCCCCATTAATATTTTAGAGAGAGTGTAAGGGAGGAAAGGAAGGGGAGAGAGAAAGAGACAGAGAGAGAGAGAAACACCAAAGTGAGAGTGACACATTGATTGGTTGCCTCCCACATATGCCCCTTTAGTGTGCAGGCTGACATTCTAACTACGGAGGACACTGGTCAGTGCCACAAATATAATTTTTAATGCAATAACATTACATATTTTGTTTAGTAGCTCCCTTAGAAAAAAAAAAACTTACTATAGCCCTGGCTGGGCATCGTCCCGTGCAGCAAAGGGGTTTCCAGTTCGATTTCTGGTCAGGGCACATGCCTGGGTTGCGGGCTAGATCCCCAGTAGGGGGTGTGTAGGAGGCAGCAGATCAATGTTTCACTCTCATATCAATGTTTCTCTCTCTTCCTTTCTTTTCCTCTCTAAAAATAAATTAAAAAATATAACACAAATAACTTACTGTATATTTTCCTATTTCTTTAAAAACTCTTTGCTTTTTCAAACTGGTTGCATAGTATTTTATTACATGACTGTTTTTTACTATATAATTAACTGCATTAATATACAATGTTGCATTGAGTATCCCTTTTACAAAAAATTTCCTCCTATGAAGAGGCCTGTCATGGAAGAGACAGGCGGTCATAGTCAAGGCGATACCCTGATAGAATTAAATGAGGAGGACCTTCACTAGACCCCCTGCAACCTGTGACCCATAACTATCATACATATTTCTGTGCTCAGGTGAAAACCTAAACCTTGAAGGGACTGAACCTCTTCTCTTTGCTTTCTTCCTGCCCTTGTCTCCAGGTAAAACTGCTGCCTTCGCACTGCCCGTCTTGGAGCGTCTAATCTACAAACCCCGCCAGGCTCCAGTAACCCGCGTGCTCGTGCTGGTTCCCACCCGAGAGCTGGGCATCCAGGTACACTCGGTCACCAAGCAGCTGGCCCAGTTCTGCAACATTACCACCTGCCTAGCTGTGGGTGAGTATCTGGCCGAAGGCTGCCAGCCCCGAGAGACCATGACACCCTCTGAGGTTGACGGGTGCCAAGAAAGCCTTTATGTAATTGAATCCACTTAAATAGTGGACGATGTGTTTTTATAGTAGGTAGTGGGAGGTGGGGAGAGGGTTTGATCGCGACTTAACCAGTCTTGCAGAATGAAATTTCAACATTATGGGGAAAATTTTTTCTTGGTACTAAATAAGTTTACGATACAATTTCTGCTTTGCATGAATAAAGAATTAAATATTGTTTGGGGCAGAATTTTTCTGATGATGTTATATGATACTGTTTTCTAACCTTCATTTTACCCCCCATATGCCATGGTGATGTAGAAAGACATCAGCTCTGCAGCTGCTTCTCTTAATCCTTAGATGCCTGGATCTGAAGTTCCTTTGTGTCATCATCTTTTTTGATGTTTTGCATTTAACAGAATTGTAGTTAAAAAAATCTGTCTCTCCAAACAGATTGTAAAATCCACACATGTGGGACATTTGTCAGTTGTATTCTCTGCTGTTTCTTCTGCATCTGGCATGAGACCTGGCAGGTGGCAGGGCTCAGGCAGTAGCAGTGAATGACTGAACTGGCTGCCTGGTGGGGCTTTTTTCTTCACAGGTGGTCTGGACGTGAAGTCTCAGGAAGCTGCTCTTCGGGCAGCGCCTGACATCCTCATTGCCACCCCAGGCCGGCTCATCGATCACCTCCACAACTGCCCTTCCTTCCACCTGAGTAGCATTGAGGTTCTCATCCTGGATGAGGCTGACAGGTACTCATCTGGGATCCCATGGGCCACAGCCCTGGATGGGAACTTGCCACCCTGGATTATTCTACAGTAGAGGCTTGGTGCATGAAATTCATGCACGGGTAGGGTCCCTAGGCCTGGTCAGCGATCAGGGCCAATCTGTGGGGCAGTCGGGGAGCCCCTGCTGGCACCCACCTTGGCTGGCCTGGCTTGGCCTGCTCGCCGGCCCCGCCCCCTGCTGCTGTCGCCGGTTGCCTCCATTTGCGGGGTGACCAGTGTGGCGATTGGCAGGTCCCTGCTGGTACCTGCGTTGGCTGACCTGGGGCCTGTGGGCTGGGGGCAGCTCCTGTGTTGAGTGTCTGCCCCCTGGTGGTCAGTGAGCATCATAGTGACTGGTTGTTCCATTGTTTGGTTGATTTGCATATTAGGCTTTTATTATATAGGATGGCTCTCACCAGTTCAGCTGCTCACATTTGTACCTTTGTCCATCCTTAGCCCAGATTATTCTGCTCTCTTTCTCCTTCTGTAAAGTGCTGGTTAAAAGGGAAGGTAGAGCCCTAGCTGGTTTGGCTCACTGGATAGAGCGTCGGCCTAGGGACTGAAGGGTCCCAGGTTCGATTATGGTCAAGGGCATGTACCTTGGTTGCAGGCACATCCCCAGTAGGGGGTGTGCAGGAGGCAGCTGATCGATGCTTCTCTCTCATCGATGTTTCTAACTCTCTATCCCTCTCCCTTCCTCTCTGTAAAAAATCAATAAAATTATTTAAAAAAAAAAAGCGGGGGCGGGGGGAAGGTAGATCAAATCCTGGCTCTGCCACTCCCTGAGATTTGGGGACATCTTTTAGATTATCAAGCAAAACCTTTCCCTGTTTGTAAGTGGGAGATAAGAACAGCACCAATCTTGTGGTGTTGAGGATTCAAGGAGTAAGTTGGGATAAGTGCCCGTGCATAGTGAGGACTCCACAAACAGCCTCTCTTAGTGTGATGTGGGGCTCACTCCATCCCTCCTTCTCCCTCTTTCCCTCCTTCCTTCCTCTCATATGTGTCCCATCTGCTCACCTCTTTCCTCCATAACTGAACAGAATAAAGTCTTAATGATCCTAGACTAATGAAGGAGGTAGGGTAGGGGAAGGAGGCAACAAAAAACCCTAAAGCCTGTTCAAGTTTACTCTCAAATTGCAGCATCTCCAACTGAACAGGTCTTTAACCAAGCTCTGATCTGTATGCCCCTCCGTCTCTCTTCCCATCTCATGATCAGCAATGTAGTCCTATTTGTTGTTCTGGCCAAAATTCTTAACGTCATTTGTGTCTCCTCATTTTCACACCGCACAAAACATCCATAAATCCTGTCAGCACTTGCCCACTTCGGGGTTTCTGCATTTGCTATTTCATCAGCTTGGAATGACTTCCTTTTTCCTTGGGTTTCTGGTCTAGTTGTCACTTATCTGAGAAAAGGTCCTGCCCCCACCTCATCCTCCCCTTCCTGCCTTATGATCTCCAATCTCTGAGGTCTCGCTAGCCTGTCTGACCTACCTCCCTTATGGTTACCTGAATGCTGGTGTGGTGGTGTGTCCCACCTCTCCTCTAGAACATCATTTCGTAAAGGGCCGGCTTGGTGTTGCTTGCTGCCGCATCCCAGTGCTACATCTGGAATCCAGTAGATGCCCAGTGAGTGTTGAATAATTGACTGACAGACAGAGCAAATGAACCATTCTTGAGGCCTGAAGGAAGTAAAGGAGATTGTTCTCAGGCAAGGGAACATGATCTGATTCAGGTTTTAAAGGGAAAGGAAATTGCATTCTTCAAACACGTCAGCATCTTAAAAGACTGGGAAAGGCTATGGAAGTTTTAGATTGAAGTGTCTAAGGAGACATGACAAATAAATGTAATACTTGATTCTCAACTGAGCCTGACCTGGAGGGAGAAGTACTGTAAAGAACTGCATCAGTTGAAAAAAACTGGAGTCAAGGTAATCTCACAGATTACTATTACCTACAAAGAGAAAAAGGTTCCTTTATCAGTGGCAAAACCTGGCAGACACCTCCTTAACCAAGTGTTCAAACTGATGATCTTTATCTCCTGATGGACTGGGAGTGAGGTGCACATCCGCACCCCTACACGTTCTTTCTGCAATGATTTACTGAATACAGTCCCTGGGAAATAGACAAATACAGAGTGTGGAATAGGCTGAGAGGATTCTTCTAGATTAAGGGAGACTAAAGAGACATGCCAACCAAATGCAACATAGGAACTTTGGTTTCTAGACTAAATAACAAGACAGCTACAAAATATTTGGGAACAGCTAGGAAAATTTGGATATGGACTATACTTTAGATGGTGTTATTCAAACTTAAAATTCATGGGTGTAATAATGACATTGTGATTACATAGAAGGTCATTGTTCTTAAGAAATGTGTGCTGAAATATTTAGGCATAAAGTGTCCTGATCTCTACAATTTACTTGCAAATAGTTCAGCCAGGAAAAAAAGAAAATAGATTAAGCAAATGTGGCCAAATGATAATTCTTAGTGAATCTTGTTAATGCTAATAAAATAAGTAAATAAAGGCGCCTAAAGCAGAACCAATGACAACATCAAAATATGGCATCTGATGTTTTCTGCCCCTCGACAGAAGCGAGCTTAGTCCATTTCTCTTGATTCCTCCCCTTCCCTGCTGACCAGGATGCTGGACGAGTACTTTGAGGAGCAGATGAAGGAGATCATCCGAATGTGTTCCCATCACCGCCAGACTATGCTCTTCTCGGCCACGATGACGGATGAGGTGGGCTGTGGGGAATCTCCTCGGTGGGGTGAGTGGAGAAGACAGTTCAGAGAACCCTGGTCTGGGCTGGGGGTGGGTACCGCCCCCTTTCTGCCCCGTGGTAGGCTGGTGAGCATCCCTATCTTTGTGCCTGGCAGGTCAAAGATCTGGCTTCTGTCTCTCTGAAGAACCCTGTCCGGATATTTGTGAACAGCAACACGGATGTGGCCCCCTTCCTGCGGCAGGAGTTCATCCGGATCCGGCCAAATCGGGAAGGGGACCGGGAAGCCATTGTGGCAGGTGCAAGCCCAGGGTGGGACTGGGCAGGGTGGGGTGCTCGACTCCTGTGACCTCAGGAGTGCCATACTGGAGCCTCCTCCATCCAGCCTCCCCTAATCCAGTGTGTGGTGCTGCCATTCCTTCACTCCATCACTTTCGATTTGTTTTTCCTCCCTTATTTTTATCGTCTCACCTTCCTCCCACCATCCAGTCCTTATGTCCTGCTGAACTCCCGACCATTTCCCCTCACTGCACCTTTGGCCCTTAGTTCAGGCCACTGCTGTGTGTTGCCTGGACTATTGCAGCTGCCTCTTACGTGCCTGTCCTGCTTCCACCCTTATCCCTTGGTAATCCACTCTCCACCTACAGATCATTTAAAATGATGTTTACAAATGAGCACTTGCCTATTACTTCCTTATGTAAAGCCCGCTGGTGTCTTCCATTGCTCTTAGACTAAAATCCACGCTCCCTAGCGAGTTCTGCAAGCCGTCTGGGTCTGGCCCCTGTCTGCCTTGTTGCCTTTGCTCCGGCCTTGTTGCCTGGCACTCGGCCACACTCACCTGCTTTCGCTTTCTCAAACCCACAAGCTTGTCCTCCTCGGGGCCTTTACATTTGCTCTCTCCTCTGCCTGGAGTCTTCCCCCTCATCTTCTCATGGATGATCCTGCCTTGTCATTCAGCTTGGGAGGAACCAGTGCTGAAGCTACCTCCCCATCCTCCCTTCACTTTCTCAAGGGCAGGACTCGCTTTTCTGTCTCAGCCCTGGAATTTGAGCTTCACACGGGTAGGAACCTCGCCTGTCTGTCTCCCTGATGCCAGGCACAGCACTACTTCGCAGGCGAGGAGGGAGTATGTTTCGGAGATGGCTGCTGGTTCACTCTTCTCTCCCTGCCAGCTCTGTTGACAAGGACCTTCACCGACCATGTGATGCTGTTCACCCAGACCAAGAAGCAGGCCCACCGCATGCACATCCTCTTGGGTCTCATGGGACTGCAGGTGGGCGAGCTCCACGGCAACCTGTCACAGACGCAGCGACTGGAGTCCCTCCGGTAAACTTGGGGTTAGGGTTGGCTCCTATCCACCCTTCTTGGGCAGGTCAGAGAGGCTCTCTTAATTCATACGAGGGAAAATACCACCCAGAAGCTGTGTTAGAATACTAGCAGGGACTCAGGTAGCACAGTTTCCCTGGAAGGTCATGTCTTAGATACACTCAGAACTAACTCCTCACAGAAGAGGTAACTCATGCCCCAGGGCTTGTTTATGGGAGCTGCTGAGTGGGCCATGGAAAGAGATTCTGACTTGGGACGATTCAGCATACTTTGGCATACGTTTTTGTCTACAGCTGCTCCAGAGCAGTGGACAAACCCGAGTCTGACGGAAGGAAATTTGGAATCAAAGCTGGTCGCCATTTCTTGACCATTTACTTTGCCAGACCTGTGCTGTGTGCTTTTCCGTGTGATTCATTTAATTCTCACAGAATGGAGTCAGCTTGGGGGGCAAGGAGGAACCCTTTAGAGCTCTCCCACCTATCCCTATTCATCATAGATGGCTGAGAGTTGTTTTCTAAAGAAAAGCTATTTTGAATGCTGGGACATTTGCATATGCTACTTCCTATATAGGATAGCTCTGTGGTTCCCAGACTTCCATATGTATAGGAATTACTGTGTAAGGGGGTATACACAAAATGACGTTTGCTCCACTTTATGGATTGTTTAAGGGGGAGTGTAAATGTCGATGGGCTGACACTTAGGCTCTGTCCCCACTGTGATAGTCTGCACTCTGCTGCTTGACTCCAAATGGAATTGTGTTCTTTCTGCTGGCTCAGGCTCCTGCATAGCATTATTGAGGATGGGAATCTGAATAAACATCTCTTTGTGGCTATTTCCAGGCGCTTTAAGGATGAACAGATTGACATTCTTGTGGCCACAGATGTGGCAGCCCGTGGACTTGACATCGAGGGGGTTAAAACGGTGAGCAGGCCCTGGCTGGTTTGGCTTAGTGGGTAGAGTGTCAACCTGCAGACTGAAGGGTTGTAGGTTCAATTCTGGTCAAGGGCATGTACCTTGGTTGCAGGCTCAATCCCCAGCCTGGTTGGGGTGAGTGCAGGAGGCAACCAGTCGATGTGTCTCTCTCACATCAATGTTTCTCTCTCTGTCTCTCCCCCTCACTTCCACTCTCTCTGAAAAATCAATGGCAATATATTTTTGAGTGAGGATTAACAAAAAATTCAAACACACACACACACACACAAAACAAAAAAAAACGGTGAACAGGCTCCATCTTCCTTGAACTTTGGGTGGGAGTCCTTTTGCCTCCTTGTGTTCCAACTGTTTCCCAACTCCCACATATGAATGATGGTCAGCTTTGACCTTCCAGGTAATCAACTTCACGATGCCCAATACCATCAAGCATTACGTCCACCGGGTGGGGAGAACAGCACGTGCTGGCAAGGCTGGGCGTTCGGTCTCTCTGGTGGGAGAAGAAGAGCGGAAGATGTTGAAGGAGATTGTGAAGGCTGCCAAAGCTCCTGTGAAGGCCCGGATACTTCCCCAAGGTGAGCAGACACCACTGCAGCAGCTCAGGGCAGATTGGATAGGTGAGGCAGGGGCAGAAGATAATGGGTGAGAGCAGGAGCTTTGCAGTCAGGAGCCAAGTTTGAATCTTGCTGAGTACCTCTGGGCAGGTCTTACCTCTCCTCTCTGGGCTTCAGTCTTTGTGTGTAAAAGAGACTCATGATAGACTTATGCCTCAAGTGCCTTATTCATAGGCACTTTGGGTTTATTTTACATCCTTTGGAAAGAAAGTTCTCTCTTAGGGCAAAATCCCCATTGATTCCCTCCTGTCCCCTAGTCCTTGAGGGGCAAAAGGTGAGGAGATCAGCATTCATTCTTTTGGATATCTTTCATTCTTTATGTTTCATTCATAGGAGTCTTTTAAAGCACATCCTTTTTAAGCTTTTTTTTTTTTCAGTTATAAAAATAATAAGTATTCAGTGTTGGGACTTAGTAAATAAAATAAGAGCTAAAATGTAATTGTATGTTAAGGAACTCACCACTGTTAGTATTTAGATACATATCCTTTTTTCCTTTCATATATGTCTATCTTTTTTTTTCCATTTAATTCATTCAGCCAGCAAATAATTATTGAGTACTACTCTATATGCCTGGTGCTATTTATTCTATTCTAGGTTTTGGGGATACAGCAGGAAACAAAACAGCTGATCCTGTGGTGGGGAAAGACACAAAAAAGCTAATAGAAGATGTGATTTAGAACTGCAGGAGGAGAGGTGCCTACTTTAGAAAAGCTGTTTAGGAAAGCCTCTGAGCAGGTGGCATTTGAGACGAGTCCTGGACGACAAGAATGAGGTGGCCCTAAGTGGTCCGGGGACAGAGTGTGCCAAGCAGAGAACACCAGGGCAAGGCCTCTGAGGCGGGAGCAAACTTGGTGTGCGAGTAAAAGGGAAGAAAGGCCAGAGGGCCCGAGGCACGGTGAGCAAGGTGGGGATAGAAGGCCAGAGAGTCGGCAGGGGCCATGCTTAGAAGTTTAGAGCTTATTTTAAGAGCAACAGGAAACCTTCAGGCAGGGTTGGAGGGTTGTTAAGCAGAGAAGTCACACACAAAAAAACAATTTTCTAAGTCACTAAATACATATCTTTCCTTTCATCAGCTACATAGGCTTCACTCTTATTTAAAAAAATTTTTTGTTCTCTTCCCTCAAGATGTCATCTTGAAATTTCGGGACAAAATTGAGAAAATGGAGAAAGATGTATATGCAGTTCTGCAGCTGGAGGCTGAGGAGAAAGAGATGCAACAGTCAGAAGCCCAGGTGAGGCTGTGCGGAGGGCTCTGGTTCCCAGGGTCACTCGGTAAGCACACCGCATTAGCCCCTCTGAAATCCTTTGTCTGCAAACAGATCATCAGAGTCCCAAGCATTTTCGGCAATGGCTTCCTGCAACTGCCACGTTATATATTGTCAGATGTAGGTTCCATGGCAGGTACCCTTTTGCTGTCCCCCCCAGATCAACACAGCAAAGCGGCTCCTGGAAAAGGGGAAGGAGGCACAGAACCACGAGCCTGAGAGGAGCTGGTTCCAGACCAAAGAAGAGAGGAAGAAGGAAAAAAGTATGTCGGGAAGTTCCTCAGAAGCTAAACATAGAATTCATAGGACCCAGCAATTCCACTCCTTGATCTAACCCCAAAGAACTGAAAATAGGGACTCAAATGGATACTTACACGCCAGTGTTCATTGAAGCAGTACTCACTGTAGTCAAAGGGAGGAAGCAACCCATGTCCATCAACAGATGAATGCAGATACAAAATGTGTATACATACAATGGAATAGTCTTCATCAATAATTAAGTTCTGGTGCATATTGTTAAGGATGAATACTGAAAACCTGTTGAGTGAACTAATCCAGACACAAAAGGACAAATGTTTATGATTCTGCTTAT